TCTCTCTGTGAATGAAAGAGGATGCTCAGGGATGCTGGTTTTCTGTGTACACACTGCAATTCTGGCTGCAGCTAGGCTACCAGAAGAACACTTATGGAACCCTGAGCTGCTCATTACCACCCTCACCAGAGATTTCCACCTCCCAGGTTCTACCAGTGAAACTTGTCTGGTTGCTCCCCAGCCTGTGTCGACATGAGCCGGGCCCACTCACTTTCAATGACAGGTCTTTGCAGGTCCATCTTGGTTTGCCCAAAGTAACACAGAGAGTGAGTTTTTGAAAGACTGGGCTAGCAGACTTGAGGGCAGCACTTTCCAGAGGATTTTTATGGTCAGGGGGTCGGAGGAGTCCCTTGACCTAGCAAAGCTGCCACTGAAGTGGGGCAGCACTGCAGGTGCCTTCTTATTTGACAGCAAGAATGCACGACAAGTTCTGTACTTTAAGTGCAGCCAGTTCCAGCAGAAGCGAAATGAAATCTACTGTTCCAGCTACAGATTACTGCCCTGCCTCATTAACTGGATCTTAGCATTTCCCCAAACCCCACACTGTATCTGGGATTGCTGTTAGTCTCATTTTTTAGTTTGATTAATGAAATACCTCCAAATATTTGTGTTTCTAGTCTAACCCAATTTCATAAGTAGTGAACTAGGGTGTGGCCACATAAATTGATATATTGGTAGACCTGACAGGGATCTCTAGTTTCACCTGGTTAAGTGGTAGGTGGAGCAATACCTAAGACCTTTGTTAAAGCCTTTTGGAAAGCAATCATGTATTCTTCTGACTGGTTGATATGAACTCTTGTCTAAAAATCACTTCAGGATGCTTCTCTTTTCTAATTTTTTAGCTACTTCATTCTAGAAGTACTTAGACATGATAAGAATAAATGTGGAAAGTGGTGTATTCCAGCTAAGTTTCCTGTATTCATAAACCAAATACTAACTTCACACTGGAAACATGAGCATATATGTTCAGAAAGGACCAACACAGAACTAAAGACAGAATGCTGAAGGCAGGGCTACTGCAAGTAGAATTACTCATCAGAAGGTTTAAGATGATAGAATCACTTCTCTGAATTCTTGTGTAACTGAAATGAGACTCTTCCCCCGTTCATGTAGATGAATTCAAGGTTTACGTCTTTTAATATTACTTTATCTCAAAAGGTGGAATCTTTTTTGGACCAGCTGTTGCACACAAGGAAAACAGAAGGTAAGACCTTAGATAAGGGAGATGAAAAACATTGTGATGTTATTTGTCTCAGCTTAGTGTTCATATTACTACTTAGAATGGTGGTGTTGCTGAAGCTGCAAAACGAGCTTGTATATTAGAGGCAATAAGTTGCCTCATGGAATTGTGTAATAGCGTAAGAAAACTTGAATGGCAGACGGTTGCCTTATTTGACAATGGGCTGGATAACCATGTGGTGTGCTTCTTACTTAACTTCAGTGCAATTGAATGTGGTATCTGACCCTGCTTTCAACAGAGCGTTGGACTACACAATATGCACAGGTCCCTTCCCACTTCAATCATTCTGTGACCTTAAAAGTTCTGTGAGTCTGTGATCTTGAACGTTAACAACTCACTGGCTGATCATAGCATGTAAGTGTCCAAAGTAGTCCAAGTTTTATGGTGTATATGGTGTTAGCCTACTTCTACTCAACTTCATTGATCTGATTGATTCCTCTTGACTTGTATGGAAGCTGTGTATTCCAGATGCTCTGTTCCTGCTAATAATCAGGAGAAAATAATGGAAAAAAAATTAGATTTCTAAATTTAACTGCCCTTCTAATATGTGTAAAACTGATTGCACTTTTATTGATTTGTACAGTAGAAAAGTTGGCTTTGTTTTCTGTTTCGTAGTAACTAGATACTAAATATCTGTTTTTTGCTATTCTCTGTAGTATTTGTGCAGAGGAGTATTGAATGAAAGTTCAAGAGGTTTAAAAAGTAGTGTAGCTTTGAGGAGGTAGAGATGTCCCCAAAACAGACGTAGAAGCAGCTTTGCTGAATACTATGATATGTTTCAAAAGCTTGATAACTTGAAAAACATCATTATAGTAGTTTGGAGTGCTTGATCATTTGTCTTATTTGAAGATAAAATGTAAAGCTGTTCTGAAGTTTATTTTAAATGGTTTCTGTGAGTTTCTTCCTACCAATTGAACTGCGTGACAGGTTTATTTTCACAGGTAAATGTCATAGATTATTTTTACTTACAAATAACAGTTCTGAAGTAACAGAAAATTCTATACAGCACTGGACATAGATAATGATAATAAAATAGTTACCACACTTCAGAATGCCTATGTTTGAAAGAGTGGAACAAAAAGTGTGTTGAGACTGTTTAGTCTGTATATCCGTAGCCCCTTATCATCACAATTAGGAATTATCTGCCTACAGCCACATACTCATTTACAAGGAACTGATGACAATGTCTCCTTTGACAATTCCAAGGCTATATTTCAGGCTGGCTCTGTAGACCAGCCAGCATACCTTTGACACAAAATGTGATGTAGGGCTACATTACTTTGATCTGTGTCCTTCTTAAATCTTGTCATAAAAAAGTGATAGTGTGTTACAGTTGCACCTCCTAATTACTTAAAAACAGAAAGAGTTGTGGAGTTAAGCTATAAACTAATTTCTATGACAACCAAAAATATGGTCAGAATATGGCTTTTCTAGCAGAGCCTACATCTGTGGTACAGAAGTTTTCACCACATATTGGAAAGGAGCATTTTTGCCTTTTTCCTCTGAAATCCTACAGATCAGTGTTTCTCTTGTTAGTATCAGAGCTTTTCAGACAAGAGGCATCTTTCTATAACAGTGGGCCAGGTATGATGGAAAAAGACAACAGCTGCAGAAAGATAAAGCCACCCAATAATTCCTGTGCTTTTTAACTGAAAGCTGTAGCAGTAGGCCAGCCAGCCTGAACATAAATTGTGTTACAGAGAGTGTCACACAGACACAGAGGGGTGAATATATACATAGTAGAAAAACAACTTGCTGCTATTCTCAGGTTTTGGGAATTTCACCTACAATCTGGCACTGTCCAGAGACCTGATAAGACTTGCAGTGACAGTAAGTGAACAGAAAAAAAAATCTGTATTGACACAGAAAATACTGCGAGAGTGAAGAAAGACACCAACTGGACTCTTCTACCCATCAGCAACTTTCCTAAATTATTTCACCCTGAGGTGCAATGTTTCCATTGAACCTGAATTTGGTTCAACTGAGGAAAAAGGGCATATTCAACTGAGGAAAATAAGTTATAGGCTCTACCAGTTCTTTCTCTTGTTGTCTCACTGGTAAAATTTTGCTTTTCCTTCTTAGTGCTCATTAGCTGTAGATAACTATAAATTAAGTATCAACAGGATTGCTTCTCCCCTTTCCATAAATCCAGGGGAAATTACCTCTTTAAGTCTGCTGGACTTCCTCTCTGCCTGTTACCAGGATCCTACTGCTCTCATGGAATTGCTGTTGCTGTCTCCTAGCTGCAAATTTAAAGAAACTGGAGTGACTGTGAAAAAAGAGTGAGAACAGTTTTAGAACTGAGCTTATGCATATGCAGGGAAAGAACCAGCAAAGGGTGCCTGGGAAGATGATGGAATCTGTGTTTGCAGAGACATTCTGAACTTGACAAAGTCTTCACCTGCCTGCTGTAGAGGGCAAAGTAAACTCTCTAACAACAGATGGTTTTACTTTATGTCCTCCTGAGATTCCTTTCAACCTGAATTATCCTGCAAGTCTAAAAGTAGGGAGACAAAATGGAAAAGGTATATAATCAAATGAGGAAGATAGCAATAGAACTAATAAAAAATTCTAATTCCCCCCCCCCCTCCGATTATTTTAGTTTGGAATGAAATGTGGGACCAGTCCAAACTTTTTGGATGGCATAGGAGTAAAGCATTGCACATATCCATAATTCTCCTGTGGGTGACATTTCATCTGTATTAATGGAGGGCTACCTCTGTTTTCTCCTTCTGAATGGATGGTACACAGTGAAGCTGCAGGGGGTTGCTTCCATCATTCGTTAATGACTAAAGATACCTGGGAAAATGGACAACAGATGGGAAAAGAAACAGGGAAAAGTTAAGTTACAGAGTAATGCTGACCTGTTTCTTTCCTATGTTACTCAGTACCCAGGCAAGATACTATGTTAAGGTGGGTCTGAGCATCCCCTGTTAAAGGCCATATTTCCAGTCTTTCTGTGTGGAACTATACCACTTTGTACAAACTATTTAAATAGACATGAATAGCATGTAAGCAAGTGGGTGTGACTCCCTAATTTGGTGGTTTACACATGTAACTGGGAGCAAACCCAGATGAGTTCCCGCCCTGGTGAATTATTAGTACAAATTATTTAATTAGTACAAATTGTTAAGCTCAACAAAGCTCTTGAAACCATATCAACAGTAGGATCTCACCTCTCCTGCTCCAGAGATACCATAGTTTGTTGTCAAAATAATAATATTGTGGGAGAACAAGAGGTACGAGTTCAAATGCCCTCAGGAAAAATTGGATCTATGACTGCTATATGATGCTCTATGCACATCCTAACCACAGCTCGTGGTTAAAAGGCAGGTGGCCAACCCCTTGGAAAACCTTCGGGTTTCGTTCTGCTTCTTCTGCAGGTACTTGAGAGGGATCACTTAGTTTCAATATGTGAACAAGCCAATCACTTTTATTTTTCTCATTAAAACTAAAAGAAAAAGAAGGTAGGTGGCATTTGAGCTTCAGATAAAGAATTGATTACCCCACCTTGTAATGGAGCGCTTCTCTCAGTGGCACTGGTTTGTCTTGCTAGTGATTTATCAGGGCAATGTAATGAGGAGACCTGATACAACAGCATGCTCGCATCTGGAGCATGAATGGATTTACACGGCAAAACAAACCCCCGGGTTGAAAAAGGTAGAACAGTAGCGATGGAGAAAGACTGCGGCTGATTTCAGTTGAGGAGGGGAAGCCAGAACCTAGCGAGAGGACAAAACGAAGGTAAATTTGAACAGGCTAAAATAATGCACCTGTACAAGGACCACTGCAGAGATTTACGAGCGGATGCTGTTCGCTGTTCGCCGCTCACCGCACGCAAGTTGCCCGACGCGCCCAGACCGCCGCCTGGTTCGCCTTCCCGACGGCGGATGGAGAATCCCGGGCCCGCGATTAGCGGCTGCCGCCGGGGCGGGGGGCGCGGCGCCGCCGGGGGAGCCAATCGGGAGCCGCGGCCGCCCCGCTCCGCCCGCCCCGTCGGCGAGGCGGGCGCTGGCGGCGGGGGCTGCCGGGGCGCCGGGGGCGGCGCGGCGGGCACCGGGCGCGGGCACAGCTGCGGGCACCAAGCCACGCCGGTGTCGCCGCCGCTGCCGCCGCCACCGCCGGGCGGATCCCGCGCTTCTGCCGGAGCTTCTTTCGGTCGCTTTACTTTGGCGGCCCGGAGCAGGGACATTATGCCGAAGAGAAAGGTGAGGCGCCCCGGGTGTGCGGCGGCTCCTGCCTCCCCGGGTGGGGTCGGGGGGGCCGAGCGGTGGCCGGCGGAGGAAACGCGCGTCGGGGGCCACGGGCGCCCGCTGCTCTCCCGCCGCTCTCCCGCCGCCGCTCCGTGCTGGGCTTCGCGGATGGCTCCCGAGCCCGGGCATTTAGCTGCCTGTTGCAAGCCCCCTCGCACCCCGCCCCGCCGCTCCCCGCCGCCTGTTTACTTTCCCGGTGCCGCGCGGGGCGGTGTCGCCCCGCTCCCCGGGGGGCGAAGTCGCTATCACAACTCCAGCCCCCACCTTCCTCCTCCCTCTCCGCCGCCGGGGAGAAGCGCTGCAGCAGCTGCGGCTTCGCCCCTGGCCCCCGCGGGAGGAGTTTCCTGCTCGCAAACTCTGGCGCCGCGGCGGGGAGGAGGCAGCCCCCACCCGGGGCGGCCGGATCCCGCCGCGCCGGAGCGATGGCTCCGAGTAAAAGGGAGGAGGGGAGAGGCAAGCCATGTTTAAAACAAACTACACCCTTCTCCTCGCCTCCCGCGGCAGACCCGTATGTACCAACTCCGGCGCCCATCCGGGCAGGGCCCCCGGGGGCGGGGGGCGGCGCCTCCCGGGGGAGCCGTGAGGGGCCCCCGCCGCCGCCCGAGCCCTGCTCCCCGGGCACCTCGGGGCGGGCAGCCTGCTCCTCGGGAGGGAGCCGGCGGTGAGACCGCCTTCCCCCAAAGAGAGAAACTTGGGCGGCCCTTGAGCGGCCGGGCTCGGTGGTGTGGGGGATTTTCCGTGGCTCCCGTGCCCGCTGGAAGCGCTCCGGCGCTGGCGGAAGGCGGGCTGAGCCTGGAGGGCGGCAGCGGCCCCCTCCGCCCCTGCAGGGCGCCGGGGTGGGCGGCCGAGGGAGGGAGGCCCTGCTGCTGGAGATCCTCGTCAAGAACTTGCCGCCTGCCTTCCTAGGCGCTAACAGAGTGGAACGGGAGACTTGACACTAATGCATGCAATGACAAAAAAATTATAGCTGCAGTCCTTTAATTTTAACTAGGTCAACCAAGGCAAGGCAATTTGTGTTTTTCCCAGATGTCACCTGTGACCTCCTAATACACTGTTTCTGGGATGGGGCTCCAATCTGTTTTAATAAAGTTACAGGTAGATGATGCCTTGCAGGTAACTTGGTGTTTGCTTGTCCTTTGCTTATTCCTTATGGGAGGTATCAAAATGTGAAATTGTCAAGTATGCTACTGAATTATTTAATTCGTAGTTGAGGTCCTGATTCTGGTTCTGAAAATGGATACAGCTGTGGGGTTGATTGGGATAACTGAGCTTGAAGTCTGTGAATGATAGGCCTTTTTTCCACTTGCTCTTCTGTCGTTGCACCCTCACGTGCTTCTGTGCTTTTAGTGCTCTTGCTTGTCGCCAGGAGAAACTAGAAAATTATCTTGTGTCCATAGGACCCCCCCCAACTTTTGAAACCTTGTGAACTTCCTACCCTGTTTACTTTGCTCTTCTGCATTCTTACACTACAGATGTTTCAGGCTGTCCTAAGTGAGGGTAAAGATACTCCTGTAGGTTTTTGTGGTCTGTTGTGAAATATTTTTAAGGGAAACTACCTTTCAGTCGCAAGTCATAAGAAAATGTCTCATTTTCAGAAGGTTATTTAAAATAAGTAATAAAAAGATTGTATATGGAATGAGAGTAATGGAGATGAGTTTTAACAGGATAGTAAGTTTTATTTTGGTTAGCATCATATCGGTAAAGGTTTACATTTAAAGATTATATAAAAGTGTAGGTTTTGGGAAGCACTGGTTCCAGAAAAAGTGTGTGATTAATGGCTTTGCTTTTTAAGAAAAGTGTAATTATGGTATTTTACAATAGTCAGTTTTATTCCAGAATAATATTTGCAGAGTGAGAAGTTGGTGATGCAGCAGTTACTGAATAATTACACCAGCCAATTTTGACATGGAGACAAAACCATCACATACAACTAATAGTCAGTTCTTCTCTTAAAATTTCTAACTTGTAAAAAGTCTTCTTTCTAACACAGAAAATTTTGTAAGTAAATAAACATCAAAATAAATTTTCACTGTTACAAGGGTAGGTAAATAAATAATATTGCAGAAAGGGCTTAAATCCACCTGTATCTATTTTTGTGTATCTGTAGTTATCTGGCTGGTTCTTTTTTGTTTGCTTTTCTTTTCATCTGTAATGTTTCTCATCTCTGTGTAAACTCAAGTCACTTGCTAAGTCCCTGGCCCTATGTTCATTATGAATATTATGAACAAAATAGTGTAAGCTGCTTCCCCTTCTCTAGAGGGCTGTGGCATAGGATATCAGGGTATCATTACTCATCGCTTGAGGGTCACAGAGAAAAGGAGGAACATACTCTGTGTTGAGATGGTGCTAAATATTGTGCTAAAGCAAAAAGGGGTTGAACTCTGAACTGCTTCTGTCAGATTTCTGTACCCTTCATCTGTTGTAATAACATGTTGTGGTGTGAACATGGCCTTTCTTAAGAAGAACGGCATGCCAGTGTGGGATAAACCAAAATGCTTGTTGTGGCATTGCTAGAAAAAACTGCCTTGAAATTGATTGGGGTGTTTTGCTCTTCACTTGTCTTTGTGGAATTAGCTCTTGGGTCATATTTACAAACTCCTTGACCTTTAAACAGCCCCAATAAAAATATCTCAGTGTTATCCATAAAAGGATGAAGAGCCATTCTGTACCTGATCACAAGGAGGATCATGGTATGGTCACATACAAGTGCATAAGCAGACATCAAGATGAATGACACTTGTCTTGTGAATATACATCATGTCTCAGGGACATGAATAGGTCAGGTGATGACTTGTCCAGCATTGGATGGGGAGCCTGTCATTTAGTTGGGATTGCACTCCAAAATGACCCAACTTGTTCTGTAATCTGAATATCTGAATCTGTGCAATACCACCTGCATCTCACTTGTTTTGATAACGCTTGGAGTTGAATCAGAGATGAGGAGTAAATGCAACTTAGTTGCACTTAGTCATGTCTTTTTTTTATCATTTGCCATCTTTGAATATTGTTATTTTTTCAGAGAAAATTTAAAAAATTATTGTGGTCTAATTACCATTTCAGCTGGTTATTTGCTGGCTCCTTGTAGTCAGGAATGTAGTTTCTGCAGTTCGGTTGATGCTGTGAAGATATACTAGAGACCATCTGGGACAGGTTCCTGTTCTGCTATGCAAATTCACTTTCTTTAAAGTCAAAGGTAGTTGGTTGTATTTACTGCTGAAAAACAAACCCGCTGAGTATTTTGCTTATAATGCTGCTTCTTTAGCAGAAGTCAGAAGGGACCACATTGTTGTCCTATCATAGGACATTTAACTACATGGTCACGCATTTTTTTTGTGAGACCCTTACTGATTATTTTGCCAACCAGGTATCTAATCAATGTATTTTCTAACTTTTGGGGTTAAATGCATGTTCTTACAGATACTAACCTAGAGCTGCTAAATTCTCCTTATGCTTTTTTGTCTGAATCTGAGTTCTCTTTGTGAAATTCTTCTATGTGTTTAAGTTTTTATTGCTGAAGTGTCATGAATATTCAAAGAGAATATCAACCATTTTTATCCACCGATAGGGTAAATAAGGCACAGAAACAAATTGCTTAGTTGTTGGAATGGTCCCTTTATCTTGAATTCCCAGGTTAAGATGTCTGTCCTGACATTTTATTCTCACTAATAAGCACCTCCTGCACTTTTGACTGGCACATTTGTTGTTACTTTGCCAAATTTGTCTTCTTGCTTTGTGCTGTGTACTTGCGATAGTAACCAGTTCTCTAAAATTTTGCTAGAGCAACTTGTATGTGATCAGACAATTAAGTAATGAAGCTGAGGTCCTGCAGGTGACAGCTCTTTTTTTGCTGTTTCTCTGAATGATCTTGCTGTTGCTCTTTGGTCTGTGGAGTGAAGTCTAGGTTTGTGCAAAGCATAGTAGCAGCTGAGCTCGTGTTCATGGTGCAGCAGTATGAAGTATACTCAAGTTCTGTTCTGCTCCATTTCATATCCCTTTCCATGTCTTGATACTAAAGGTGTGATTCAGTCTGCATCAGTGTGATATACTGTATGTAACACAGCAGATTTTTTTCAAAGGTTCTCTTCATTTTGAAGCTATTTGACAGGAAAGAAGCTCCAGTGATGTTGTGGGGACCTGCATCTTCCCAATAAATTGTTCCAACTCTGGGGCTGGAAGCTCTTTCTCTGTAGCCAAGCCACACTTTAGTTTATTCTAGAACACAAGGGAGTCTCTGTTACCAGTGAGACATAGAAATGGGGGAGGTTCTGTATTTCATTTCACAGTTTGCAGGTGATTATAGAATAGAAAGGAAAAGGGAATCAGTACCAGATCCAGATGTCTTGGCTGCTGCCCTCTTCCCGCTCCTATTCTGTCCAATTTTTTCTCCAGATTTTTACTTGGACTCATTCACCCTTCATGCTGACTGCTTTCTTCTTTCTCCCAATCCATGAGAATTAAAAGCAAAAGTCAGAGCTCTGAAAAAGGTAGTTTTTCTTTCCACATTTTCTGGTGAGTCACTCCTAGACCATTCAGTAACTACAGGAAAACAGGCTAAGCAGTAGCAGAAGATGCTCTTCTTTGCATCTGTCACTGACATGCCCCTGACTTTGACAAATTTCTGTCTACTGTGACAGTGGAGTCCTCAGGTGGACTTCTACCTTCAGCATGCCTTGCAGGGACAGGTAAAATGATTGCTATCCAGAGATGCTCTTTAAATTCAAGCAAGACAAACAGAACAGATGTGCCCGAGCATCTTAAAGATTGCAGGAGCCTTGTAATAGAAGGGGGACGGATGTTTTGCCACTAAAAATTTTAGAAATTGTACTGGATTTGTAACTATTGCAGAATTTTAAACCTTGAGGTGTTTAAAAGGAGCTGAAAAGTGCCTGGTTGGCCTACTTCAAGAAGGTCAACAAAGTCAGTTGACCAGACTGACTCAAAGGATCTACATCTTT